TTCATTCATTCATTTGTTCTTTTTTTTTAGATGGAGTCTTGCTCTGTCGCCAGGCTGGAGTGCAGTGGCAACATCTCAGCTCACTGTAACCTCCCCTTCCCAGGTTCAAGCGATTCCCCTGCCTCAGCCTCCTGAGTAGCTGGGACTACAGGCACGTGCCTCCACACACAGCTAATTTTTTGTATTTTAGTAGAGATGGGGTTTCACCATGGCCAGGATGGTCTTGATCTCCTGACCTCATGATCTGCCCACCTCGGCCTCCCAAAGTGCTGGGATTACAGGCGTGAGCCATGGTGTCTAGCCGAATTTCGAGTTTTCATGTAAAACATTCAGGACTTGTTTTCCTTCTTCAATGATGTTATTGAATACAATCTATAGGAGTTGTAATTGTCTAACCAGGCTATCAAGAATAATATGCAAGTTATTTCACTTTTTGGGGGTGCAATTAGGTGCAATTATTATTTAACTGTTCAGATATGGGTTCCCAAAATCCATCAAGAATGAATGTGCTTGGTGAGTAACTCATGGCTCCCAGAAGACTACTAATTCTTAGCCAGCACCATCTCTTTGTTTTCCAAGTGCTGGAGAAATCTCTTTTTGGTCCTAGGAAAATCTTCTCTTTCCCTAGGAAAATCTCTCTCCAAGTTTGAGTAAGTTTTGCCTGTTAATTCCCTTCCTCCTAGGGTTGTGGGTTTTATTAAACAATGCGCTTGTCTCAGTGAAATGAGAACAACCTGAACAGCAACATCCATGCTGTAATTCGTGCAGTTAATGACAACCAGGTCTGTATTGCCACCTGGTCAGCGTGAGTTTGTAAGATGCATCCTCAATTCACAGATGTTAAACTGTGGGAAAAAACGTGGTTTAGCATCTGTGAAATACAGAACGTCATGGTGGCTGGGTCAATGTATAGTGGCTTTTCTTTAATTCCAAGGTTGGGATGTGGGAAAAAAAACTTGCCTTAAAAGAAATCCATACTTTTTGGTACGTTAAATCTAAGGGAGGTTATAAATCGAATGGTTGCAAGAGCCCGAGTTTAAAGTGAGAGAAAGATGTAGCAGGGGAAGAAAGAGCTGAGAAATACGGAAAGAATGGAAACAATGGGTGTAAAAGCAACGGGCAAGTTTTTTTTTTAAAGGGACAAAATCACAAGCTTATTAAAAAAGGCAATGACAATTACAGCTACAGCTGAAGAGCAAAGTAGCTCATTTTAAGATTATTTTTACATTAGATAGAAGCTTTGCAGCAGGGCTCCTCTCCATTTTAGATAGTAAAATTGGTTTAGGTATTTCAGAAGCTCTTATTGCAGATTATAATTTCATATTCAGTAGTGTGATTCATTTAGGTTAGTAACCTCCGTTACACTTAAACTGTTTTTCCTCACGACTATATTCGTAGTGGATAGCGCAGTGAATATAATTTCATGAGTCAATGTTGTTTGTTACTATTTGTAACCCTTTAATGTGCAGGGTAGATCTTTGAATATCTAACTTCCTTAAGCCTCAGTTTTTTCAATAGTCAAAGGGGGGCTAATTCAGGATTATTCAGAGTTACTCTGAAATGAAATGCAAGAATGTATATAAACCTTAAACAGTGCCTAGCACAGGGCAACGCTCATTGAACAGCAGCTTTTGTGAGATGCACCTCATTCTGAAATACGCGTGGAAACAGCACAAACGACTAGCTCTCTTAGCCCCGTTTTTTTCCTACATTCGTATGTTGCTTTGAATTGGCAAGCAGTTTTTATTTGGACCCTCAAACGCTAAAACCTTGGTCTCTTAACTGTGCTATGAGTCTAATCCTTTTCTTTGGATCGTGATGGATTTCCCGAGCTTCGGAGTGGGGCCCTGACCAGGGAGGAAGTGTCCGCTTTAAGAGCTCCTGGAGGGGAGGAAGGGGCTCCTCCGCCGGGGTGGGAGAGTGAGGGGGTGGGAGAGTGAGGGGGTGGGCGGGCAGGGGGCGGACCCGCGGCTCCTGCGTCAGAAGGGGTCCGGTTTTCGCACCTTCCCTGACGTCAAACCTCCATCAGGGTTGCAACGCCACGTTGCCTTGGATGCCTGCGTGAGTCCAGTCGCGAGTCGGGGCGAGCGTCCTGCGAGACGCGCTCCCGCCCTGCTTCTCCCTCCCGGCCGCAGGCGCCTATTTTTGGCTCCGCGGGCAGCGGGGCCGCGGCGCTCGGACGGCCTGGGGTTCGGGCGCCGCCACGGAACCGGAATCGGCACGGAGAGCGCCCGGCGCGGTCCTCGGTCTCCACCGCGGCCCGGAAGGAATCCGGGCGGCCTCCGCGGAGGTGAGTGCCGCGGCGGAGGCGGGGCGCGGCCCGGGCGACGCCCGCGGGCGGGGCCTGCTCGCCGGGCGCCCGGGGCGCCTTCTTTCTCCCGGGGGACGCCAGGACGGCTCGCCGGGCTCCCGCGGCCGCTTCGCAGTTCCTCGGCTTCCCCTCATCCCGCGTCCCTTTCTGCCCCTGCTGCGTGAGAGGGTTCGGCGGCTCCGGGCCGGGATCGAGGTGGCGGGTCGAGGGGAGGAGGTGGGGCGCGGGCTGCATTGCGCTTCGGTCGGGGCGGTGGGTCCGAGGGGTCGGCGGACGAGGCCTCGGGCCCGGGCCTGGGGAGGGGGAAGCCTGCGGGGTCGGATTGGGGGCTGGGAACCCGCGGAGTCTTGCCTGGGCACCTGTGGGGCCGAGATCCCGAGCCACCTGTCCACACACCCCCTTCCCCCAGTGCCCTGCGTTGGGTCCAGCTGGCCCCAGACCTAGGCCTTTCCCAGCCCCTGGCGATGCTAGTTTATTTGGAAACGTGTGATTTTTGTGTTAATGATCGTTTTACTACTGCCGTGCAACAGTTGTGTAAATCTGGTCTTGTTACGCCATCGTTTTTACTTGCTCCTAAGAAGGCCGTTTCCAGCTCCTGGGATGATCCCACGCTTTGATTCTGGGTAGCTCGTGGAAGAGATGCATAGCAAGATACTGGTTCTCAGGGGACCAAAACGCAACCCCCCACCCGCCAACCTAAAGGAAATAGCTAGTTTTTGTTTTTCTTTTTTACAGCAATTTGCTCTGTGTAGGGAGGGGGGAGGGACGGCGGAGACAGCCTGTGGCGATTTCATCCTGGAGAGAATCCGCTCACAGTTTGGCGGGTATCTTTCCCTTCTCTTTAATTAATACACAAACATATATACGTGTGTCACATAAGGGGCGTTTATTTGTCTGCTTTTTTCACTTAATGCATGGAAGATCTTTTCTATATCGTTTGAACCCAAAGCGTAGAAGGCCAGAAAGCAACTCGTTAGAGAGTTGATCAAGTATTACTGCAGTGGCCAGTGATTTGGATAGAGATAAGCTGAATTCAGAAACCAGTAACAACTGGTTTCTAGAAAATATTGTTTAGAAAATATGTCATAATAATTGCAGGCAGTGTTTCTTCAAACTGCATTTTTTCAGCCCGTTCGTGAATTGTGAAATTAATTTAGTGGGTCGTGACTAGCATTAAAAATTAAAAAAATTAAATAAGATCGCATAGAAAATGTCAGAATGCATTACATGTAATGAGAGTTTTGTTTTGTGAAAAATGTTTTAACTGTGCGTGTGTACCTGTGTGCGTGTGCTCGGTTGTAATTCAAAATGTATTGGTTGCTGTGTGTCGTGTTAAATAATCTTGGAAGTCACTAACCCAAGGTATTGCTATCACTCAGATGAGCAATGATGCAGTTAAACATTAGTTTTTAAAATTTGGAATAGTGATGTTGTTGATTGCAGCAAATAAGAGTCCTAATTATTTGTTTTCGCGTAGCATTAAAACAAACAGTATTCCTAAAAATACAGAGAAGTGGTGTCTAAGTCGTTAAGAGATTATAGCATAAATTGCTCAAATTGACCAATGGTCACAACTCAGTTAATGCTGGTTATTGGTGTGAGACCTGCTCAGAGGTCTCTTTTCTCTTAACCTTAGTTCCCTGATTTGCTAAATGCGAATTAATCATGGCAGCTACCTTATAAAGCTGTTTGTTATTTAGATGAGATAATGCACAGGAAGCTGTTGACAGAGCGCCTGGCTCAGATTAAGTACTAAGTATTAGCTGTTATTATTTTACTAAGACTGAATAGAGATGTCTAGGATAATGCTTGTCGCCAGAGGAAAGCCAGCATAGCGTGGATAATTGAAAAAAGTGGAAAATTGAAAATCAGTAGTGTTGTGTGGAGGAACTGACACTGAATTGATGTGGTCTTTTTTGTCATTCGGCCATTGTTTTGTCATTGCTTCTCAGTTGTTTCCCTACTGCTGGACAGAAATTTAGACTGTCTTATTCAGAAAACCAAATGCCTTTCTATTGTCTTTCCTTATTTTTTAAAAAATTAAGTTGATGTGTCTTTTGTCAGGCACTTGAAAAATCTGTTTTATGAGGATTGTGGGTTTTGTTAGTTGTTACTACAGTGCCACACTCAGTTTGAGAAATACACGACAACCCCAGAGTCATTTCAGAAATATTTTTTTACCGATGTTTACCTCTGTGGCTGGTGCAGATCTCAGGTGTGCAAGAAATATTTCTTAAAAAACAAAAACAACAACAAAATGCTGTTTTATTTTTCTTTTGAGACATTTCTGCTATGACATTTCAGTTACATTCCTCATTTCTGTGGAACTCATCTGGGTAGCTCAGAAATCTCTGTTCACTCCCCGGGATAGGTTTATGCAATTTTAAATGTCACCTAAACGAATGGAATAAGAAGGTGAACATAGTCATTTTAAAAATGGTATTATTATTTTTGGGAGAAATAAATATGCTTCGGATTCATAAAAAGGCTATGTTTGCAAATGTACTTAAGTGGGTATGACAACTGTGAAAGATTGGGGAAAAATGTTTAACATTGATCATAATTCTGCTCTTAGATTTGAAACTGCCTTCAGATTTTTGTTCTGCTTTAGAGGAACACAAATGGAAACTTAGGGGTGAATTACAATGCAGTTTATGAAAAGACATGTCTTGAGACGTTAGCTAACCTGTCCCCCAATAAAAGCAACAACACCCATACTAAAAATACCAATGAAACAAAAAAGCCCAACTTGACCTTAAACATATATACATTTATATGTTTTAAGTTAAATATTAAGATTATGTGTATATTTAAATTATCTCACTGGTTGACTTTCAGAAGTTAACTCACGAACTACCGGTTCTTGTCAGGGCTTTTATCTTACACTGACATGATGAAATACTATGCAATCATTAAACATTCTATTTTAGTTTATTTTCTTCTATTTTATAATAACATTTTATAATGGCATATAAAGGTGCTCATTATATGTGGTTCAGTGAGAGATGGTGGCTATAGAATAGAATGTACTATACGATCCCATTTTTGTAAAAATATGTTTAGGATAAAGAAGAATATAACACAGGTTAATGGTGGGTGGTAGTATTATGGCTGATTTTTATGCTCTTTATAATTGTACTATTATAAATGTTTGACTTTTGTAGTAAAAACTAATAAAATAATTTTTTAAAGAAAAATGTGTGTTTTCTTATTTTGTAAACATACATGACTGTGCTTTAAGGGATACTGACTCTTAGCTTGGAGATTTCAGGCATTAACTAATTCTCCAGTATTTTCGGAAATGGTGCAGAGTAGTTAATAGTTACATTCCTTACCCTTTGAGAAGCTCCTTTGAGTAGAAGAGAATCATTGTTCCAGAATTTTCTTAAACCGCTCTGGAGTATACCTCTTTACAAAAAAACTTCCACAGTGCCTAAAGGCACAGTCTAAATTCTTCAGTTTGCTTTTGAATACTAACAGGTCAAAATCCAATCCACTTTCCGTGGTTTATTGCCCCATGAATATGTAAAAGTATTTATTAATAAAAAATAAAATACTGAAAAAAAATTCTCAAATGCAACCTTAGATTTGCTGAATTTGTTAATTTTCTTGCATTTGTATCTTGGCTAGTTTGTTAATTGGACTATCATTTCCCAGCCTTTGAGTGAGTAAATCCTACCCATTTTTCAGTATCTGGTTAAAAAACCATACCCACAGTGGCATCCCTGGCCACTCTAGCTAAAACTGAGTTTTGCAGTTGAACTCATTAGCAATTCTCATTTTTGCTGAGGCATTTCTTAGGCATCACCTCATTCTTGATCTCTAATTTCCCAATTTCATTTTAAATTTTTTGAGGGCAAGAAAACTTGTCTCATCTTTGTCTCTATTCCTTAAAGTTTCTAGCATGGAACTCTGCACAGGGTGGGTGCTTTCTAGTTATTATTTGATTACACTGTGGTATCACTGGCTCTTTAGAATCCAAGTGTTGGAAATTTTTCTTAACCAGTGGTCCTGGATAAGGAGCAGCGCTTTGCCCACAACAATACGGAGGAATAAAAAACATGCTTCTGCTTAATAGTGTATTGATATAGATAGTTGATAAAAGACTTGACAGTATTTTTCATTAAAACTAACGTGATACCTGAGCCTCAGGAAGTTTCTCATGCAGCTAATTTTGTTTGGGTTTGACAGCATTTTTGTTCTTAACCTTACCGGAAGCACAATTGCGTCTTATATTCTTTTACAGCTACTGTTCCAGGAACCCAGAGACCTGCAGTGTTTGATGGTGGATTAGATGGGCCATCACAGTCACTGCACCAGAACTTTAGGAGGTCATGTCTGAGGTTCAGTGAGTCATAGTATGTAAAGTACTTTGTGTTCAAAAGTTAATATTTTTCTTATGTTATTGGAAACATGTCCGTTTTCAAAATATATCCAGGTATACTTATTTGGTCTGTGGTAGACACTTATGGGACCTAACTCTTTTAAAAAATGATTTTATTTTAATTTACAGATATTTGCCAGAATTAATACAGCTGATGAAATACTTGATCTTTTCTGCTTCAGGTAAATAATTTGTTACTTTGTAAAAATATCAGGTTCTAGTAGAATTCAGAGTTTGTATAAAAAGACCTATTTAGGCATCCAAGGTAATATAATCCCAGACCCTGAAAAAGTGATCTCTTTAATAGGTAAGTTTATTACTTCATAAAAAATGATGACTTATGTTATTGAGTTGACTTATAGCAGAATCACCTTGAGCATTTTATTTTATTCTATTTTATTTTACTATTATTACTATTTTTTGAGACAATGCCTCACTCTTTTCCCAGGCTGGAGTACAGTGGCTTGATCTCGGCACACTGTAGCCTCCACCTCCTGGGTTCAAATGATTCTCTTGCCTCAGCCTCCCAAGTAGCTGGGACTATAGGCATCTGCTATCACACCCAGCTAATTTTTGTATTTTTAGTAGAGACAGGATTTCACCGTGTTGGCCAGGCTGGTCTCAAACTCCTGACCTCAGGTGATCCGCTTGCCTCAGCCTCCCAAAGTGCTGGGATTACAGGCATGAGCCACTGTGCCTTGCCCCCTTGAGCATTTTAAATTTGCTTCATAATGTATGTCCTGGGTTCCCCCAACCCCTGGGATTTTGATTTGGTAAGTTTCCAATGAGGTCCTGGCATGTTAATTTTTAAAAATGCCAACACATGCTTCTGGTTCATTGCAACTCACTG